TCCTAAAACTTCTTCCATCCCAACTGAATAGAAACACAATCAAATGGAGCATACCGAGAGGACCTGGGATGTCACATTTATTTGATTTCCAAGGATTATTCATGGGAAATTAAATTATTTTTGGACAACTCTCTTCGGGACGATAAAATACTTAAGCGGTTCAGGCCGAGCCAATAAGAAAAAAGAAGAATTCTGTTCATCTCATCTGTCAGTACCGAGAAGGGAACACCGAAACAGAATTGAGATGTGCCAGGGGCGGACTTACCTTCAGTGTCCAATAGTGTGCAAATCGGTCAAACATTAATTGAGAGATGGATTTTACGAAAAAACAAGTGTGTGAGTGAGCGTAAGAATAAAAAGACTTGTGTAGTAATTTATTTTTTTTGAATTTGTGAATATTTTTTTCTATTCAACTAGACAATTCATATATTTACCTATTCATTTTTAAATAATTTTTTTTTTATATATATATATATATATATATATATATATATATATATATATATATATATATATATATATTTCTTTTGTATGTATTGTATATACCCTTTTCTTTTACACATTTGTATGACAACATATTTGTCACTTTTAAAACCGGGGTCCGGTTTTCTTGGAGGGGAGGCATGTCACAATTATTCCTTAAATTGAATTAATTTATTTTCATTCGGCTCAGTAAATAATTTAACATCCTGTATGTTAAATTATTTCTGAATAGTAGGTCGATTTCGAAATACTTTTAAATCGTAGAGAATGCATTTCATAGTTTCATAACAATTAAGTTAAAAACTAATGAACTTTGTGCTGACTCGACGATTTTGGAAGTCTTGCGAAATCGAACCTAGTCGGTTTATTTTAGGGGGTCATTGAGAGTTTTGCGGGACGGCAAAAAAGGTGGTCGCAATCGATCACAGAGAAAATAATTGGGGTTTGTAAAATATATATAACATAAAAATATAATTATACAAAATAAATACTAATAAATATTTCTGGGGATAAAATAAAATAAAGTAAAGTAAAAATTGTGACTGCTCCATGACAATGAGGTAAGGACCCCAAATTTTATTATTATTATTATTATATCGATTTTTGATTGTCTTTTGAGTCCTTTAATTACGGACATTTAATAAAGTGTTTGTGAATTTTTTATACATGGTGTTTCTATTATAACTAGTTTAGTTCTCTATACAGTAATTTAAGTCACCCGAGGTTCATCTTAAGTGGCGCAGATTCCTTCTAAACCAAGAAGTTAATCTGAGCCTTTTGAGATTAACATCGGCTAGAGCGCTCTTAGCGGAAGTGGGTGATTATCTATTTTTACCTCTCAAGCCAAGCGAGGACCCCTAATCACATTAAAAAGAATAATTACCACCCCCTAACCGTTAAGCGTGACAATAAGTACAAATGAAGATATCATCCTTTGTTTAGTTTATAAAGACTTAAACAAAAACGTGACTCCGGAATGTAACTTTAAATCATGCAAACTTATTATCAATTAATAAAAAAAATCAAACCTCCGAGATCAAATTATCTTTATCTTCATAGATAAAATACGTATGTATAGTTTTCCTATAATGTAGACAAGAAAAGGACAAAAGAATGATTCTAAAAGTCAAAAGTATGCGCCTAGTAAGTATTGGTAGTTGGTAGTAAAAATTACCTAATAATATCTTATTGGATGCACTCATAATCTAGCCTATCGTCGAACATGAGTCTTTGTTACTCGGGAAGTTAGATTGTGAGGAATATTTTTTATTCATGACCTTGGTCAAATACTCTAAACGATGAAGACCACTAATAAAAAAGAGAAGAAGAATAAGACACATAACCAAACATTGTCAGATTTGCTGACGTGATTATCCTTCCTCCATGGACGTGATGTAGTTTTAGTTTTTTCTCACGATATACCCACCTAAGGGGTAAGTCTGATTAATTATAATATATGGCCCTTCTGTAGTATCAGTGTAGTGCTTAAAATCATAAATATTTTATAAGAAGTGTAAATCAATTGGTAGACGAATCTTTTGTTCTCAAATAATGATAGAGCATTAGCTTCAGATGAATGTAAAATGTAAGCTTCTTACTGAATCTTCCGAGGAAATACCATTATTCTTTTTTCCAGGAAAAAACTCGTGTAACATTCAAGAATCTGAGTTTATTTCAACAGCTCTCTTTGTATAGAATAATATTAATTCAAAGACATCTACGGCTAATGATTTACCTATTCTTAGTAATAAAGTAACTGATCATTATAAAAGTGTTAAGAGGAAATAAAAATGTGGACAATTCGTAATAAAATTGCAGATAAGGCACTATGTAAACCTATTTTTGTTTTTTTAGAGATGTGTAGTAAAATCCACAGTACACAAATGGCAACGGAAAATGTAGAGGCCTTTACTATAAATAAAGTGACCCAAAAATGCTATAGAAGTAAGTATTACTGTAATGTTTGTCTCAAGATTTTGAAATATTTCTATTTTACTGATATACATACCTTATATGTCATTTTTTTTAGCAGAAAAGTACGTGAAGAACCTCAACAAATAAATTTAAATTTTTAGTTTTTTGTATGTATGTATTGTTTTATTTTTTAAAATTTGCTTTATTTTAAAATAAAATTTATTTTGTATTTAAGTATGGGTTTTATTTTCTAAACTGTGGTACGGCATTACAAAAAAAATTCAATATGCCATGAATATTCAAAATACCATGATACATAGATATCCATCTAGATACCATACATAGATATCCTCAGTAAATTCAGAGAATATGCCATACATATATTTTGGCAGATAAAAATATATCGTGGGCATATGTTTCATGGTGACCTTGAATATTCCTGCAATCTTCCCGTCATATGCCATGGCGGATATGGCATATCCATGGAATATAGGAGTATGCAGTTGAGATATGCATTGAATATTCATGCAATATTTTTGTGCTGTCTGGGTTAGGACAACTTTCAAAACAACCTTATTATTTGTAATAAAGAACTCTAACCTTAGTGATGGAAATAAACAGTATTTTGGATGATGCATGTGTGTGTAGTGATATATCTGAGCTAAATTTTTTTGACAATAACCAGAGTAACATGAGTGTAATACATGTTAACATAAGAAGCATATACCAAAATGTTGACCAGTTCCTTGTATTCTTAGAGTCCTTGCAAAGAAGCTTTGATGTAATAATTATGTCGGAAACACACTATATATATAATTGCCCTGATTTTAATATACCGGGGTACAACATTATATTTAATGAAAGCAACTTAAACCGGTGTGATGGATGCGTAGTGTATGTTAAGCAAGACCTATTCTTGGGACACGAGATACTGGTGAAGGAACAACTCAGGATCATAAAGGTGACTTTGCAGAAAAATAATTTATTGGTTAACATCCTGGCAACATACAAAGGCTTCGGTCTAACAAAAGAGAGTTTCATTTACAACCTAGACTCTGTAATGCAAAAGGTAATCAATGCTCAGAATCAAATGAAGGGGTTAGAAGCAAAAGGGTACAAGTGCATATTTGCCACAAAATGAGTTAGGTACAGATTTGGGTAATAAAAAGTCCAAATTATGTAGTGGCATAAGGATCCAAATGAATTTAATACCTGTGGTGCCATCTATTGGCGAGTGAAAATTACATAGAAATAAAAATGTAGAAAACGTTAGCGGCAAAACGGTACAAGTGCACTTGTACCGTTTTGCCTCCAGGGGGTCGATTCTCGACTTTTTTCCTATAGGAATTTGGTTGATTTTCCTATAGGAAAGTAGGTTACGTATTCTGGAGTCAAGTTGTAGGAATATTTTCCTAAGCAGTTATAGGAAATGAATTCCCATGCTCATGAGACAGGGAATTTAATTTTCCTACAAGATTTTGTAATCGGGCTTGCGCAATAGTAGCTTGTTTAATGTGGTTATTGATTTATGCTTACTTTTTAGGCGATTCCAAACTCATTTAAAAAAGAAACATACTACATATATTATTAAAAGTTAATTTTAATTTGACGAGTAAAATTATCCTATTTGAAATGTCTTTAAGTCAATAAATAAAGTAAACCAAAATCCATAAATTATTTATGAAAATTTACCAAAGAAACTGATTAGGTACTTTTGAGTCTTGTTTGAAATTCGCACATCAGGATTCCTCGACGGAGCCCAAACCAAGTTATAATGATGTATGATGTGAATTTTACTATAATTTGGTAAATATTGAAAGTATTCCTATATTTTTGTATTTCAAATTAGAAATTAGAGGATACAAGCATTAACCTTTTGGTGTAGGAAAAACATTTGTACTAGTTACTTTCTACTTATAAATATAAATAACGACAGGGCCGCCGAGAGCCAAGCCGGGCCCCAGGACAATTCTCTAGATCGGGCCCCGTGACAAAAAAAACAGCTCTTCAAACAAAAAGTTTTCCTCCTCTACTTGGATTCAATTTTCTAAAAAAAAAAAAGCTTCCGAACCTATAAAACTTCCCCCTCTCGTCTTGTGTCGAATTTCTTTTCTCATACAAAACAAAAATTCCAGTTGCCGGGCCCCCCTTATACCGCTGCCGGGCCCCCATTTGAGTCCGGGCCCTGGGAATTAGTCCCGGCTACAGCCCCTCTAGTCGGCCCTGAATAACGGTAATCACAATGGTAGTCCTTCTGAAACTTTTTCGTTTTCTCTTTTTGCTGCTAATAAAAAATATTAAAAAAAAATAACCAGTACATCCAGAAAATCAAATATTTTTGACAAATTGCCTTGTTGCCAACTGTTAAACAACTATATTTAACAGAAATAAATACATTCCATTGGCTCGTTTCTGCGTTATCTTGAAATTATCAACGACATACTGAAATTGGAACTCCTACAGGAAATTGGATTCCTATTGTACTCGAGAATACCGACAACTAAAACTGTAGGAATATTATCATAGGAATTCATTTTCCTCGGAATCAATTCCTACAACTCGAGAATCGACCCCCAGAGGTATGTGGTAAAAATTATAGGTTATGTACTTGTATGAATTCTATGTTTCTGGGACCTATTCTCGTGTAAATTTAATTTAATCTAAATAATATGAGTGAAAACAGGAACAGTGATAAACGTAGATGTGCTAAAGGTAAGGCAATACTAATTTATTTTAATCATTTATTAAAATAAATTTTTCAGTTGATTTGCAAACATTAATCCATACAATGTTTTTATATTTCACAGGATCCCAAGTATATAAACCTGATAAGCATGATTCTGACGATGATTCGGATCCATACGCAACTGATGAGGACACTGAATATTATGAACGAACTTCCGACTCTTCATCCGAGGAGGAAAGGGGCTGTCATCCCAATCCTAACATATTACAAGAATCAAATAGTGACTTAAAGGCGACGTCATCTTCGGCTCATGGTAAGGTTTTTATATTGTTTAATTTACGGTGCACAAAATAACATAGATTTTTAGTTACACCTAAGAGAACACGCAAAAGACAAAGAAAAGAAGCAGAATGGAAAAGAATGCAGGCAAAGAAAGCAAGAACAAGTGGCAAAGAATATAAAACGAATAAAACTAAAACTATCAAAAAAAGGGAAATTAAGTTTTGGGAGCACAATTGCAGGTACGACTGCATGAAAATATCAGAAAATGACGCACTAGGTATTTTTACCAAGTTTTATGAACTGCAGACTTATGATTTACAAACAAATTACATTGGTTCCTGCATCAAGAAATTCGCTCCCAAGCGAGTAAAAGGTGGGGCACACTCTCACAAAGAATTTGTCACCCGTATACTCCTGATGGGCTTTAGAGTCTGCAAGACGTTCTTTTTGAAACTGTTAGGAATAACTAATCGGAGATTTAATACGGTGTGTAATAAACTGTCCAATGAAGGATTTTTGCAAGCAGATCAACGTGGCAAACATCCACCATCCAACAAAATGAGTAAACAGAGACGTGATGACGTCATTTCACACATCAAAATGTTCCCGAGATATAAAAGCCATTACTCTCGATTACAAAATTCTGCCTCCAGATATCTAGCTACTGATCTAAATATCAAAAAGATGTACAGCCTTTATCTTGAATGCTGCTCAGAATTAAACAAATTACCGGTAAAGGAAACATACTATAGGCATATTTTTTGTACCGAGTTTAATTTAAAATTCCATAAGCCTCACTCAGATACATGCGATTGGTTGAACAATTTAATAAAAAATGGTCCCAGTATCGAAGTAATCACACAAAGTAAAGCAGAGCTGGAGGCACATCATAGAGTTGTAGAAAGTGTCGCAGCTTAGAAAAAACGCTAGCCACGCCTCTGCTCACTACTAATAAGGTATACTACCTCAGACAACTGTGGACCTTTAATTTCTGCATACATGAAGTAATTTCTGGCAAATCTTACATGTATACTTGGAATGAAACCATTGCTTCACGAGGCTCTCAAGAAATTGGTTCTTGTCTGGTGAAGGTAAAGTTTATTACTCCTATATAATTTGTTTGAAAATTTAATGCTAACTTGTTTATTCCATTTTTAGTATATTAAGCAGCTGCCTCCAGAAGTTAAACATCTAATCGCCTATTCTGATTCTTGTGGGGGACAGAATAAAAATAAAAACATAGCTAAGCTATTTATGTATCTGGTTCAATGTACCAATCTGGAAAGAATAGATCACAAATTTTATGAACCTGGGCATTCATACATGGAGTGCGATAGAGCTTTTGGGCAAATTGAAAAAAGAAAGAAGAAATACCCTCATGTATTTATACCTGATCATTGGGTTGACATTATTAAAAAAACAAGCAAAAATTTCACTGTGACATGCATGAGTGGTGACGATTTTCTCTCATTCCAATATCTTCATGACAACATAAAAGATCCAAAGAAAGATGAGGAAAACAAAATATTCAGATGGCGTCAAAATGTGTGGTTTACTTATAAAAAGGATGACTTTTTGAAGTTTTCTTTCAGGATATCAAGAAATGAAAGCTGGGCTCCCATTTACACCGAAAATTGCTCTAAGCTAAAAAAGGGAAGACCAACCTTCACATTGGAAAACCTCAATAGCAAACTCTACAAGAATGCATTAAAAATTTCATATGAAAAGTATGAGAATTTAAGGACATTATTAGACTATATACCGCCTTGCCATCACCAATTTTATGTTGATTTGCCTCATGAGGGTAAAAAAGGCAAGAAAGGGAGAAAAACAGCTAATCCAACCGAGGTAGATATACCGCCAACTCCCGAGGTAGATCTAGATATACTGCCAACTCAGGCATCAGAAATCGAAAGTGATACAGACAACAATTTTACGGACCTGTTGGACTCGGATTATGATGATTAATTAATGTTCACGTTATTATGTTAATTATCTAAGCTAAAAATAAGTTTGTTATTTTCACTAATAAAACATTGCAAAATGCAGGCAAAACGGTACAAGTGCACAAAAAAACAAAAAGGGGAAATTTTTGAAAAAGTGTCTTATGCTAACAAAATTTATGAAAGTGCAACGTATAGGTTGCTGAAAAAACGAAAAACGCAATAGCCCTCTGGATTTTACTATAAAACAAAAACTTTAATGTTGAATAACTCCATTTCTCTTTTTTGTCACTTATACCCTTTTGCTTCTTACCCCTTCAAATATACATTTTTACTGGTGACACAAATATAGACCTTCTAAAGGTAGAGGAGGATATGACTAACAATTACTTAACAATGATGCAAAGCCATGGGTTTGTTAGTAAGATCAATAAACCGACAAGGAAAACAGCTGATTCTATATCATGCTTGGACCATTATTTTGTTAAGTGTTGTGAAACATATTTTAATCAGATTAATACCGCTGTACTAGAACATGATCTTACAGACCATGATCCCATTCTTCTTAGCCTGCAAACAGACAAAAAAAACCCTGAATACAACAAAAGTAACTCTTATCAAAAAATTGATTATGAAAAATTAAAAAATTGTTTGCAGGGGACAAAATGGGATGATGTGCTCAATTCCTGGGACTCTGACAGATGTGCCAGTATTTTTGTAGATAGGTTTAAAAGCATATTAATAGGATGCACAAAAACAAAAATAATTACTTGTAAAAAAAAAAGATAATAAAACCATGGATAACAATGGGAATTCTAACATCAATTAGGAATAGAAACAAATTGAAAAGGGAATGTACATTAAATAATAATAATAATAATTTAATTTTGTTGCAAAGATATAATAACTATAGATCTATGCTGTCAAAACTGATTAAAAATGCTAAATATTCTTTTTATAAAAAACTTGCTCAAAAAAATTTGAAAGACCCAAAAAAACTATGGCGAGTAGTTAGAGAAGCCACAAATGAATATAACACCCAATCAGAAATAAAAAATATAATCAGTTCCGATAACATAGAGCTCTCAAGTAAAAAACAAATAGCGGATGAATTTAATAATTATTTCTCAAAAATAGGTAAAAAACTTGAACAAAAAATTAAAAATTCTGTGGTACTAGTAGAAGAGCAGGACATCCAAAGGGTAACAAAATCTTGCTACTTGAATCCAATCACTGACACTGAGCTTATCAAGGAAATAAACAACCTGAAAAACAATGTAAAGGGAGAAAAAGACTGTATTAGTTCCGTTCTTGTAAAAAAATATAAAGAATACTTGATAAAGCCATTATCACACTTAGTAAATGTAGTTTTCAGTACTGGAATTTTTCCCGAAATCTTTAAGACAGCAACTATAATTCCACTATATAAGCAGGGAGACAAAAGTACAAATAATTATAGACCCATTGCCTTAACGAGTACAATAAGTAAGCTACTTGAAAAATGTATTAAACTTAGAAAAAAATAAATTACTAAACGAAAATCAATTTGCGTTTCGGGAAAATTCCAGTACTGAGAACGCACTATGTAGAGTAACTGAGACAATTTTAGGGAAACTGGACCAAGGAAAAAAGGTATAGGTATCTTTCTTAACCTTCAAAAGGCCTTTGACACTGTGGCACACCAAATTCTACTAAAACGTTTAAACTGTATGGGTATTAGAGGAACACCAAATAACCTAATCAAATCTTATTTAGAAAGAAAGCAATGAACAAAAATCATAAATGAGGTTAGTGAAGAAATGGAAGTAGAATTTGGTGTGCCACAGGGGACAGTCCTTTCAACGTTATTATTTAATATATATATATATATATATATATATATATATATATATATATATATATATATATATATATATATATATATCAATGACATGATGTCAGTTTTGGCTGAGAATGGCGTGGTGATCTGCTTTGCCGATGACTCTGGTATACTGATTTGGGGTGACGATTGGGAGAGTACAAAGGATCGTGCAAAGAAAGCAATGCAAAAAATCAAGAGATGGCTAGACAATAGCCTACTATCCTTAAATGTCAACAAAACAAAATGTGTCACTTTTGCTCTCTCCCCACGCTCACTACCAGAATTTGAAAACCTAAAAATACATAACCATGACTGTGATCTGCAATAAATTGTTTGAAAGGGTGACATGTATAAAATACTTAGGGGTTCTTGTAGATCAAAATTTTACTTGGAAAGAACATATTACCTATGTGACAAGCAAAATAAGGAAATTAATATATAAATTTTATGAGTTACGCCATGTCTTGAGTTTTAGCACATTAAAGATGGTGTATTATGCACTGGCTGAATCAATTTTGAATTATGGGTTGGTGGTTTGGGGTAGTGCCGGAGTGACGGTTTTAAACAAACTACAGGTTGCACAAAAATATATCATAAAAATTATGTTATTTAAAAATAAAAGGTTTCCTACTGAATTGCTTTTCAAAGAGAGTCGGTTATTAGATATTAGACAGTTACACCTTAAAGCAGTAGTTAGATTCATGTTAAAATTTTCCTACTATAAGGAATCCATAAGCCATGGGCGTAACACAAGAAATGCAGCTCAAAACAATGTCGCACGCCAAAACCCCAAGCACACCATTTGCCAAAATCATATTTATTGTCTTGGTCCAAAAATCTTTAACTGCCTTCCTAATGATATTAAAGTAAAACCAAATTCTAAGTGTAAAAAAGAGATAAGACAGTGGATACTCCAAAGCAATTATGTAATTAATTATATAGTTTAATTTTAAGTTTAATTTTAAATAATATATAACACAATTATTGTTCATATATATATACTTATTTTACTATTTCCTATCGAATTATTGTTACCACATTTCTACTATTTTAGTACAAAAATCTGTTATACTTAGCTTAAATAAGAATATATTTTTTATTTAAAAAAAAATAAAAAAAAAACCACAAAGATACATGTATAAGAAAAAGAGTGCACACACAGTACTTTAAGTACAATCGTGCACTAGAGTAGAAGTTTTCATTTTAAATATTATTTAGAGGGTGACCTCAATTTAGGAATTAAGGGTGAGATTACAGAACGTCTGCAACTTTGCAAATATGGCGGACTTACAAATGTAAGTATTCCAAAAAATATCTGCAAATTCGCAATATTTATTGTGGTTTATTACCCCCAACAACACTAAACCCAAATTTGGAATACGAAAACTTGATACTTGCATGTGTAAGTCAGTCATATTTGCAGATTTTCAAAGTTGCCGCCATATTTGCAGATCTGCAAAGTTGCAGACGTTCTGTAATCTCACCCTAAGTAGTTAAGTAATAGAGTGATTTATTTTTATCTTGTTCCTATAATTAATTATATTACTGTTTAATATAAATGTAAACTACTACATAAATAAATAAAAATAAAATAAATTTACGAAAATCTACAAATTTCAAAGTTTATGAATTTTACTAATTTGTTAAATAAAATAAACATTTAATTAGTCCCCAGTCCAGATTGTACTAAGGATTTTCGAGTGAAAGGCAATTTAAAAATCTTTATTTACATATATACAAATATCTGCATTTCATTAATAATTGTAAAAACACATAACAAGGTGGATTTAAAAATGTAAAGTCCTACTCTTCCCTGAGTTATCTCACCCATACTAATGAAGAATATATAAAATATACGATTTTGCATAGTTAGCGTTTTAGAATAGTTTGTTTATATAAAAGTAGTTTAATCAGTTAAAAGCAAGTTCATAGTTAGCATTCAAGCCATAAACATCTATATTTATTGTATTTTAAGTAAAATTAAACTTTAAAAAATCATTTTCGGTTCAAGATTTAATTTCTGGCGCAGTCAGTAGGATAATTCGGGATCGAGTCGTATTGAACGGATCGATTTTTCGTTTTACCGATTAGCCGAATTACGAACTTTCCATTAAAATAAAAAACTGTTGGTGAATAATTTTACAAACTGTTGGTGATTAATTGTAAAGGTCGTTTAGAAGACTTTAAGACTTGGGACACACATTACCCAAATCTACAAGAATTGCGGACTGGTGAAGAGAACATCGCAGATTCAGTGACGTTTTTGGGACCATTAAATAATGATAGTTACTCTTTTATTGTAAGTACAATTTATGGCAGATTTTATTTAGAGAAACGTTTATTGCAATTAAAAATCGATTCACCTTCAACTGATCTTGGTTCAGATACTAATCCAACAGTAGTAGCAACTAATTTACAAAAAGTAACAAATAATTTACAAGAAGTAACGAATAATTTACAAGGAACCAATAATTTACAAGAATTAAATATGGCTTTCAAACCTGAATTTCTTAATTGTATACCTGAATTCGATTTAAGTAGCTTTTTAGCCGTGAGTGAATCTTTGCTCACACAATTTTATGATAGAAAACATCAAGAACATTTTCAAAATACATATTTATTGAAATCAATTATTTAAAAATTAAGCGATAATGCTAAAACAGTAGTTAATATTCAAAATTGTGCAAATTGGAATGATTTAAAAAATGCTTTAAGAGCAATCCAGTCCCTTCTGTCGTCACACCGCACGGATCTCACGACCACCCCTTAAAGTATTTATAAGCTTGTTCGCTACATAAATTTGGCAATGTTGTGTGTCGTGCGCTAAAGAATAATCATATTGGGTAGGGTCCGATTACAATTACATGAACACAGGTATATTGTTACGGTTTCAAAAATGATAGTCTTTAATTTTCAAATGTTATTTTATACCTACTAATAAATGATTAAAATCATTGCTTTAATAAATATTTAATCAAATATGGGTTACCTGTTACCTTTTTGTATCATATCTTTTATAATTTATAATCAGATATATTTTTGTAATTTGAAATTATTTATTACTGTGAAACCATGTTTACATATTTTCCCTTTTGTTTTTATTTGCAAATGTCATATTTCATCTTTATTCGACATTCGACAGATTTGTTTGACATTAATTATCA